AGCTCTGTCTGACTGTAACAACTGGCGTGGCATTGCACTATTATCCACCCCTAGCAAGATCTTAGCAAAGGTCATCATGAAGCGCTTATCACTGGCTGTGGACCATAGATTTCGTGAAGAACAGGCAGGTTTTAGGAGAGGAAGGGGCTGTATTGATCATATTTTCACACTGAGAAATATTATTGAACAGAGTACCGAATGGCAGCGAACTCTCTATATCAACTTTGTAGATTTCGCCAAGGCCTTTGACAGTGTGCACCGGCACAGCCTCTGGAAGTTATTACGAGCATATGGAATCCCCTTCCACCTTGTTGAGATCATCAAAAGCTTCTATGACAACTTTACCTGCTGTGTTGGTGATGGTGACATCTTATTTGAAGTTCACACTGGTGTCAGGCAGGGGTGTGTAATGTCTACATTTCTTTTCAACCTTGTTGTGGACTGGATCATGCACCGCACCACTGAGGATCAGGTCAGGGGAATCAGATGGACACCTTTCTCCTACCTGGAAGACCTGGATTACGCAGACGATCTAGCCTTACTATCACACACCCACACCCACATACAAGAGAAGACGCATCGCCTCAACACCTTTGCAAAGCAAGTTGGCCTGAACATCAGCAGCAAGAAGACTGAAATTATGGCACTGAACGCTACCAACACACGACCAGTCCAGATTGATAACGAAGAGCTTCCTTACACAGACAGATTTACCTACCTCGGCAGTATCATCAGTAGAGATGGAGGAACTGACCTGAACATCCAGAGCCGTCTCAACAAGGCCAGAAATTCGCTCAATATGATGAATAAGGTATGGCGTTCTTTCACCTATAGTACTCGTACCAAGCTGAAGCTCTATCATAGCTGCGTCCTTACAACCCTCCTGTATGGCTCAGAATGTTGGCGCTTAACTGAGAAGGATCTATCAAAACTCTCCACTTTTCACACCAAAAGCCTTCGGCGTACTTTACGCATCTTTTGGCCTAATGTCATTTCCAACAAAGATCTTTTTGAACGGTGTGGAACCGAATCAATGGCTACCATTCTGATGAGGAGACGCTGGAGGTGGATTGGCCATGTCACCCGCCAAGAAGCTTCCATTGCAAAAACTGCTATGCATTGGACGCCAGAAGGGAAACGCAAGCGGGGTCGCCCCAAGATCACATGGCGACGGACAGTTGAGAAGGAAATAAAGGAGATGGGGAAGACCTGGGAGGGCATCAAGTTCATGGCAAGGGATCGCCAGATGTGGAGGGAACACGTCGCTGCCCTACATGCCTGTTAGGCGTAAAGGGCATGATGATGATGATGATGATGATGCTTAGGGCTGAATTAGCAGAAGAGAGTCAGAGTCTCAGAGAGTAAAATGAAGAGTTGCTCAAGCTAGTGAACCTAAACAATCCAACACTCTGTTGGCGATGATTGACCCCTCCTCCTCCCCTTCCGTTCCACCTGAAAACCAGATGATCCCCAAAATCTTTCCACCCCAAAATCTTTTCGTCCTTATTTTGACTAAGTCATCTGCCATCCTGACAAAAACCATCGAGGAATTCATGGAATCTTAATGGTTCACTTTCTCTCAATTTTTCTTGATATCCCATATTGTCATGGTAAAGCTAAAAGGACTGCTTGAAACAAAAGATGCGCGTACAGGTAATAGGGAAGAGATTTTAAGGCATCTTATTACCCTCAGCCTAACTGAATAACCAATTGACTTTGACTCTGATGCTAGTGACCCTCGCATTTTTTGCCTTAGTTAACCTGAAGGTGGAAAGTTTTATACAAAAATGCCTCATTTTCTTCTATCCTAAATTGAAACAGCAATCTACTTAACTCCTCAAACCCTCAAAAAGTAATTCCTTTAAACCTGTTACTGAGATATTTAATTTGTTAAGAACTAACGAAAAAACGGTACTCGATTTTGTCATGATGGAAATCTAGGGCTAACAAGACTTCGTTAATGGTGGTTATAAAATTTTAAAACCTCAGTTGGACGTTTTTTTGGTTTGGAAAAGGGAAATTGCAATGTTCCTCGGAAGACCTTTCTGATCAATTCGATACGATTGAAGAAAGTTTTCACGATTAAATCTCTTTCAGATAAAAGCCAATCGATAAGACTCTTGGATGAAAAACGATTTTTGCCTCAAGTCCGGTCCTGACTAACACCCCAAGAACTCAGACTCTATCATTTTAGTATTGTCCTCCAGTGATTGACAAGCATACAATGTTATCAAAAGACGAAAACTGAATCAGTTGCAGGCGTAAGCTAAATGAAAAGTTCGACGAACAGAATGACCACAAAGAGTGATTCTCCAGGTAAAAACAATTAAACTGCCTAAACGTGGGTCACTAAGTTGTGATTGGTTTCAGTTTTGCATCTGATTGGTTGAGAGAATGACTCGAGCTTTCAGAACCAATCACAGAACGAAGTAAAGTTAAATCAATGCAATCTTGGATAACTTTCGACACTCAATTGAAAAATTCTCTAATGATAATAATAATTGCTTAAAAATGATTAATAATAATGAAAAAAAGCCTTATTATGATCTAAGATGAAACGAACTCTTCCAACAAATTAACTTTCCTAACTACATGGACATCCACAATTATAGATTTCAACTACAATTTTTAAAATAAATCGGTCTACTAAATAGTTTCTAAATCTAAGTTGTATTTAAGAAAATTAGGAAATAAAGAAAGGTGATTTTTTCCGTTTTTCTCTGACATTCACTACCAAATAAACTGCCCCTAAAATGTTAAAGAGATAGGGAAGAACTACATTAAAACATTTTCATTTCCTAAATCGAACAAGTCGTTTCTTCCTGAAACCAAATAGGTGTATATTACCTGTTTCATTTTTTTTCCAATGATGTGGAAAGTGGAGGAAAATGCTTCTTAAAGACAGAGTAGCGCCATAGGCTGGTCTTAAAATTGAACAAATTGCTCTTTCGACTTTTAAATATTATAAGTTATTAGTTACAGTCAAATGAAGAGCCTGCGCTCTATTTTTTCTTATAACTAATTCACGTTGAAGTACCAGCCTGTGAGAAGCATAGGATTCGTTTTGTCAATTTCTAGCTTAAAATAAATAATATGTTCCACTTGCTTTGCACATCAATTGAATACTCACAAAGGTTTGCATTTTTAGACAAGAAACAGACATAATGCAGTCACGAGAAATAAGAATAGTCATTTTGAAAGCTGTATTTGGACAGAGAAATTTGATATATGTAAAACTCTATGGATGTGTAAAATTTAGATTTCCTTACCCCCACCCCCTGCAGTTACATTTGGTTCACTTGATGCCATAGAAACGCAGCTCGCCTCTGGGAGAATGTAATCGCGAGTGATTGTGAGGATTTGGGTTTTTCTCGGTGGGATCATTGGGGAAATTCCGTTCACGTTGACGCCAATTTGAACAAGAACCACTTATACAAGGCGAAAGCTAAAATGTCATCGAAAGCATCAAAAACTAGAATAAAGCAAGGATGAGGAGAGGGAAAAATGAAGGAAAAATAAAAAGGTAGAAAGGGGAAGGTAAGACTTTCAGTGAATCCCCATTTTGTTAAGCTCACAGTCTATCTACATTATGACGTTTTTCTTCTGTCTGCGCACCGCGGCCATCGCTACCGTTACTGTGCTGAGTAAGTTGAAATGTAAAGTTTTTACACATTTCACCCCAAGTGTCGGTGGTGGCAGAAATATGTGAAAGTCGAAGCTCTTTGACAGACATTCTCGAAAACTTTACTAAAGAGTTATATCCAGAGGTTACGAGTAACTCGGAAGGACTCTCCCATATTCTTCAGGAGCTACGGCCTTGCAATCAAGCGGACTAGGTCCCTATGGAATAATAGGATTAAATCTATATAATAATCATTATTGTTATTATTAGCATTCCAAGTTCCTGTAAACTAACGCTCCATGCCACCGTCCTTGTTTGACCTTTTTCTCAACCCTTAAATAAATCAACTTGCAATGGACTTAGCTCTCCTTCAGCGTGGATACCCTGCGAAATGATTCTCATATATCCACCTACTACAGATTCAATTTTTACCGTGATTCGTCAAGTTTTCGTACTCTATTTCTTTACGATGTTGAATTCGCAATTGGAATCACACAATCGAATTTGAACGTTTTTTGATCAAGTGACGTAAGACTAAGACTAAAGTAATTCTCTAAACGGAAAAAAGTACATATTACAGGATGTAAACATTACAAGGTTTATGAGAGCTGAAAGTAAACGCCACGATTAGAGACTTGAAAACACGAATAATTAAGTCGAGATTTGAGTTTAGTCCTTCTTCTGATTGGTTGATTGATTGCCAAAAGCTTGCGAGTGGGCTGTCAATATCAGCATTTCTGCGCGGGCGTTTCTTTACCCGCGACAAAGTAAGTTTTAGACCGTGAGAAAAAGAAAAAAAAAAAAAATAAACGGGCGAGGCAAGGGATCTAGGCTCATTTTTAGTGCCGCACCCTCCCACTTCAAATAACAAACACTTCCCCAGGCTCGTCACAAATTTTCATGTGAGCAGAGAAACGCACTTGCCGCAGGGCCATTAATGATCGAGGGCCTGCTCGCCTGCTCGTAAGATACGATCGCACAAGTTTATAAACCAATCGTGGGGTGTAATTAGGCAAAAGAAATGCATCTTGCAATTGGGTGATTAAGCTCAGGCACTCATTTGAAGATTGCTGTGAGTTAGATCATGTAAATTTGTCACGGCCCACACTCTCGAGTAAAATGATGTGAGGGATTTGTCTCATTCGAATGGAGAAATGACTCACAGGACTAATCTAGAAAGTTATATGGATTGGTTCCCTGCGAATTTCAACGAAGCCTCTTAACTGTGGTGGGAAATTACTTTAAAAACTTCAGTTGAGAAGTAAAGACCAGGATATACCGTTACATATCAAATCTTCGACAAAATGTTTATATTAACAACCTTAAATTTCGTTTAATTTCTTAGATCACAGTTTATTGATTCGTTGATTCCACTTATTCGTTACAGTATATATTGTTTAGCAGATAAAGTAGCATGCATATTTTGAACATAAAGGATGAAAATACAAGCTCTAAACATCTCTTTCTAACCGAGTTCGTAACTAACAGTACAGCCCGAAAAAAACAAGTAACTAGGATATTTATTATTTTTCCGGGTTCAAACAGAGGAGGGAGATTTCAGTTTAAACAAATCTTTTGAATTTAGCGAGGCGTACACTAAAATTCGGCTGAGATATGTTAAAAATGTGCATTGATCAGAATCTGGTTATTTCACCCAAGGTGCCCCTCAGACTCCTTCCAAGAAACACGATAAAATCATCTATGTATCTCATTCAATTTAACGTTTTTTTGTGGCATATAGCAATCTTTGCCCTTAGGAAACAACTTAATTGTTGAATCCTCTAATTTAAGGGCGCTTTCAACATATGCGACGTTTTGTTGGGACATCATAAATTTATTTAAGGGCTTTTTGTCTAAAGAATTATCACCCATTACACCAAACGCTCCCACGACTTGATTGGTATTCAAGTTCAAGCAACAGCCCACCGTCCACATTGAGTTTGGAATTTTGATCTTTTGGTGTACATCCACGTTGCCATGGAACCCCTCCATTGGTTTCACCGACTTATCCACCCCGATTATTTCGCCTTTAAGATTAAGTTTCTCATTAAACTTAACCTGTGATGTTCCAGTGATCAGGTAAAGAGTTCCGCCTATTGGAGCACAATAGTCCTGGGCATATATCCCTATTTTTAGTTCGTACTTTAACCACTGACCTGAGTTGAAATTCCCAATTTGCGGCACGCAGTTGGTGTAGGTGAAAGTGGCAAGAACACTTTTATCGCTGTAACGTAAGATGTTAACAGGAACGAGGTGACCTTTGTGGTATCTACCCGGGAAAGGTTGGTTTTGATACAATGCACTGCTTCCTTGACGAATCCCTGATCATGAGAGAGTTTTAAAGTACGCTGATGTCAGTCACAAGCCAAGAAATTTTGTTCTCTATCGATCCCAATCACAGTTGCAAAATGTTAAAGCGAATTATCTCAGATAAGTCAAGGAAATTGTTTGCTTAAAATGATTTACCCATCATGCACGACTCTTCTCACAAGTCTCTCCTCTTTCCATTCGTATTTTTGCTCCATTTTACCTGCAGTGTAATACCGTCGCATGTTTTGTGTGCACCGTACGCGTTGCCTTAATGTGGTAAAATGGCGTTATGATGCATAATGTAAATGTATATTATATCTACCTAATATCGATCCATCCATCTATATATAAGAACACGTATACGTATATATATGTATATACACCCGTTTTCGAGTGTTTTAACTTAAAGTTCACGAAATACTCGCATAACCTCATCTCAGCATCTTATCGATCGCATTAGGAGTGCGTGAAAGACCAAAACAACACGACGAACAGACTTTGTAGTAGTGGAATGACAAATGAATTAATTTTTTTCCCAAATTTCTTCATTAAAAAAGTAAATTTTAACAGTAACACTGATTAACTTACCTGGCGTCTTATCCAGTTGCCATGGGTCATTAGGTCTTGGTACTGGGTTTGTCTTGGCTTTCAAGGCTTGTGCGGCGGTAATCTTGTAGAGTGTGTACCGTGCAATTCCCCAATTATTATTATAGAAAATGGCATATTGATTGTCTGGGCAGAGGGGAAGGGTGATACCTGGCTGCTCTGGAAAGGTTGGTTTTTTATTACCCAATGAGAAGGAGTCAAGATCGCACGCTGGTACTACGCGACGTACTGGTTGTTCACCCAGGTGTTCTCCTTGCTCATCGTAATCTTTGACGCAAGAAAAAGTTGCCTTTTTATTCATATTATCACATGTTCCTCAAAATTATGCTATATTTCATAAATCTTATCCTTTATAGAGATTATTCATCCGAAAGAAGATGACGACTACCTCCACAGGGGTCCGTGTGTTATTCTTCCACTCGATTCTCACTCTGGTGTAATGATAAAAGTTAATATTTCAATCTTTGATAAATCAGCTTTTTTTTAATTGTTTTGCTGAACAAAATTAGAGCTCGAGTGAGAATATCTGTCTTTCTGTAAAACGTTCTTTAAAGAAATGCAGTTTAGGACCATATGTATTTTTCATTTTAAATTTTTCCGAAAAAAAGTTTTTTAAAATTGTTTTGCTGAACAAAATAAGACCTCGAGTAGGAATGTTTGTCTTTCCGTAAAACATTCTTCAAAGAAATGCAGTTTAGGATTATTTGCAATTTTTATGTTAGCTCTATGAGCTCTACAACAATTAAATTTTCGTATACAAATCAATAAACCGGTCATTTGTCTTTTATCGCCTGGGAAAAAGGGGGGGTGAGGGGATGGGAGGGGGGTTGTTGTAGTATTCTAATGATCCCCACTCATATACAATTTTTCAATTTTTTTCCTTTTATACTCTGTAAAACAACGACCGATCCCCATTTCGTTCTCTTGAAAACCATATGAACCCCCCTAAAAAGTACTTTGGCCCCCTAAAATCCTCCTTCCATTCCCCCCTCTCCCCCCATGTGATAAATGTTGGTTGCTCCCTAATGCAGAATTAATAGTGTATTGTTCCGGTTAGGAGAATTTGAAAAAATCTTTGAAACACATTTCATCAGCCATGATGACCAAAATCGAAAACTGACCGTAGAGTTTGAGGAAAGAGGCTCTCTTTTTCTTTGTATTCTTTGGAGGACTGACTTGCCGTGTAAACTTCTTTGAAGATTAGCGTAACCTAGCGCAGTTTAGCCAACGTTTATCTAACTTTCTCTAGGTCATCTGCCATCCTCACAAAGTTAAAAAAAGAAAAGAGACGAAAACTCGAAACAAAAGTCAATTTTCAATTAGTCGCTTGATCGGCCCATCGAGCGTACATCAAACATCTTAGTTTTCTTCTTGTACTCAAGATGCAACGATTTGCTCGCTAAACTTCTCTAGGAAAAAACTTCCGTGAGATAAAAATTAAAGTCCGCCACAATTTCTTTTGTGCTACTGTAAATTGTTTTCAGCAGGTAACAAATAGTGTATCTCAAAGTTTAATTTTTTCTAGAAGTACATAGTTCAAAATTTGTCGATCAAACATCCATATGTGAAAGTTTACGTTTAGATCTACTATCGGAATCGAATTAACAACCCACACAGGGTTGAACAGGCTTGAACAGGCTTGCTCTATGTTTGCGAAAATGTAAAAGTAACTACGTATACCGCTCTTTAAGGTGTGTCTACTGAAGAACTGTAGCATTTGAGACTGAGAAAAAAATTTCCGCCGTAAAATAAGTTTCAAGGGTGCCTTAGACAAACTTTGTACGCCCGCTCGCGTTTGAGTTACAGTTTCAGATGGCTTATGCAGGAGCAACGCTTAATCCAAAGAATACAATACGCGTGTGCTAAAGAGATTTGACATAAAGGGAACACTTTTTTACCTTTTCCTGAGGTTTTTGTCACATTCGTTGCAGCCCATGTTAAAGTGGTTAGCTGAACTGCTACAAGCAACGCCAAGGGGAAAGCGAAACCAAGAAAGTTCATCTTCACCGTATCGTCACAAAGGGGTACAACTGTATAGGGTTATCTTGACTGCTTAGCTGTGTGATCTCTTCACTGTTGTGTTCTTATAAGCTTTAAGATTTTTGTGGCAGAATACATTACATAATTTATCTCGTCACAATTACCACATAGGAACTCATGGCATCTTAATGGATCTCATGGTTCACTTTGTCTCAATTTTTTTTTTGACATCCAATGTTGTCATCGTATAGAAAAGAACCTCTCTTCAAAGCTAAAAGGGCTGCTTGAAACAAAAGATGTGAATACCTACAGGAAATAGAGAAGAACTTTTAAAGTATCTTATGACACCCAGTCTAATTGAATAACCAGTTGATTTTGAATCTACTGCTGGTGACCTTGGAAATTTTTTGCCTAAGTCAACCTGTAAGTCAATAAATATCTTTAAGAGAAATATTTTTACAAATGTTTTAGCTTCTTCTCGGAAAAAAAATTAGCAACCGAACATTTTCAGCTGACAAATAGGCCACTAATTAATATGTTTTTATCTGAAATATGAAGCTCTTGGACCCCATATCCTCACTCCAACTACTTACAAAAGCTCTTACATATTTAAAATATATCAAAGTTCACACTGCAGGTGGTCAGACATGGTTTGATGCTACTCTGGTTTGCAGATTTAATGAATGTAACCGAAGAAGTTTAAAAGTTAAACGTTTAAAAGTTTAAAGTTAAACGCTGCAACAAGAGGTCCTTTTATATGATCACTAATTAGCGGTCTTTTTTCTGACGAGGTGTAAATAGGCGTCAGGAAGCAAACCGCCATCCTCACGATTTAGAGGAGCGTGGGCGGAGTTAATATGCCAAGCCTCCAAACAAAGGCGCTGGTGGTAACACCGGTTAGTGGTAATAATTTTAGAACTATCCCACCCAATTGTATGGTTGGTTAGACATGTGTACTCTGATAAAGCAGAATTTTCCTTTTTGCAAAAGAAAACCGCTTTTTGATGCTCTTTTAAACGTGTACCAAACTGACGTTTGGTCTGTCCGATGTATTCGAGGTCACAGTCATTGCATGGAGTAGAATAAATGGCGTCGATTCGTTTTTCTTTCGTGACAGGATCCTTAGGTTTGGCGAAAATATGCCCCAAAGTCTGAAAAGGTTTTTGAGCAACTTTAACGTTGTGGCTATTTAAAATTCTCTTGATGGGTTCGGTAACACCTTGAATGCAAGGAATAACAGCAAAACCAGTAGCTGGTTCCCTTTCATCAAGAGCGTTACTAATTGTAACTGGTTTTTGGCAGTCAGGGAAAAAGGTTTTTGTATAGCCATTTGCCTTTAGGACATTAGAAACATATTTCCTCTCCTCAGCCTTCGAATCAACTGAAGATGGTAGACAGTCAGCCCTCCTAAGTAAAGTTTTGGCTGCAGACTTTTTATGGCAAATAGCGTGGTGAGAATCGAAAGCGAGGTATTTGTCGGTGTGAGTAGGTTTACGGTAGACACTTGTCTCTAAATTACCCTGAACCCCTCTGGACACATTGAAATCAAGAAAAGGCAAATGTCTATCCTTTTTACGCTCAAGGGTGAATTGGGTCGAAGGCTCTACTGAATTCAAATGTGACAGGAGGTACTCCGCTTCATTTCCGGATACCGCAGATATAACATTATCGACATATCATTTCCAGAAAAAGGGTTTAACCGGTGAAGTGGCTTAGGCCCTTTGTTCCACGTCTTCCATTACCATGTTAGCAATGACAGTAGAGATAGGCGAACCCATCGCTGTACCAAAAGCTTGTTGATAGTAGGTGCCGTTATATGTAAATTGCGTGGTTTTGAGGCAAAAAGTCAGTAGAGGAATAATATCCTCCACAGGCAAAGAAGTTCTTAGTCCTAGGGAGGTATCTTCTCTGAGTCTCTCCTCCGCAACCTTAACAGCAGGTTCAACTGGGATTTTAGTGAAGAGCGAAACAACGTCGAAAGATACTAGTTCTTCACAAGCGTTAAGAGTTTTATCTCTTATAAAATCCGAAAATTCGGAATTTTTGACAGTGTAATCAGTATTCCCAACAGGCGACAAAATTCTCGCAAGATAACCTCAAAAGAGACAATGGGTCTCAAAGAAATTCCCGGTTTATGAATTTTAGGTAAGCCATAAAAACGTGGACATAAGCCGTCACTACTGTATAACATTTTGTACGTAGAGTCACTAATTTTACCAGCTTTTTTCAAATCAAGCAACATTTTGTTTAACGTTCTTTGAGTTTTACTGGTAGGATCAGAGGTTAAGACAGCATACGTACTCTTGTCATTAAGCAGAGACAAAGCTTTGTCGTGATATTGCTGTTTGTCCATAACCATTACACAATTACCCTTGTCAGCAGATAATACGAGCCTGTCCGGATCCTTTTTTAAGAGCTATAAGCGCATTGAAAACATCCTTTTGTATGTTTTTTGGGAGGAGGTTTAGCTCGCCTGAGTATGCTGCTTACTTCTGCTCTTACAAAATGCCTATGATCGTCGTTGAGTTGAGAGATACTCTCCTCAACGGCGGCGACAATTTCGGCAGTCGGTATTTTGCGAGGAGCAATAGCAAACTTCAGACCCTTCTCTAAACCACTCCGTTCCAGCGCGGATAACTCCTTGGAGGAATGGTTCATGACCCATGTATCTTTCAGAGATGAGCCTGAATTAACAGGAGACCTCTTACTGAGCAAATGACGGAATTTTCTGTCGTGATTCTCTCTCTGTTTGGTAAACGTCTGTAGTTCTTTCGAACTGTAGAACTCCTCGACCTAAGAAGTTTCGGAGTTGTTAATCAAAGCAGAGAGTTGACTGAGTGAACGAGAGAATAACGCACGCAAACGCAGTATGAAACTTTGACATTCATCTATTCGTAGCTTAAGAAAAGAAAAACCAGCTCGGACCATGAGCTTGTATCCTCTTGCACTCCGTAAAGGAGGCCGAAATCTCAAACTCGATGGAAGCACATAGTTTTCTTTACAACGGTGCTTGAAATACAAATGACAGCGATACTTAGTAATGCGAACTCTGATGTTCGCGAGCCGGTTGATGCCAAGCCTCCAAACAAAGGCGCTGGTGGTAACACCGGTTAGTGGTGATAATTTTAGAATTATCCCACCCAATTGTATGTTAGAGCGTTACTAGTTGTAACTGGTTTTTGGCAGTCACGGAAAAAGGTTTTTGTATAGCCATTTGCCTTTAGTGGGTGGGATAATTCTAAAATTATCACCACTAACCGGTGTTACCACCAGCGCCTTTGTTTGGAGGCTTGGCATATTAACTCCGCCCACGCTCCTTTAAATCGTGACGATGGCGGTTTGCTTCCTGACGCCTATTAACACCTCGTCAGAAAAAAAGACCGCTTATTAGTGATCATATAAAAGGACCTCTTGTTGCAGCGTTTAGATCACTCCTGATGAAGGCACTAGATAGAAGTGTCGAAAGGTTGGGTCTATGAATTGAAAGTTCTTCGGTTACATTCATTAAATCTGCAAACCAGAGTAGCATCAAACCATGTCTTACATATTTTCTGAATCTTAAATACCTCAAGATTAAGGAATCAACGCATCCAAATCAAGGAGTTTGTTTTTAGGTACTTAGTTTTTTATTTCGAATGTCTTGTGAGATTGTTTTGGTGAGCGTTCTAAAAATATGTTTACTCTGCCACGGTTATCTGTCCCATAAGATGCCAACCGATAGGGTATTTGAGAGTATGTACCCAGGGCTGAACTATTAGAGGAGAGACAGAGTCTCAGAGAGATAAATGAAGCTCCTGAACAGACTTCTGGTGCCTCCCTTTACGCGAGTTGCTGAAGCTAGTTAACCTAAACAGTCCAACACTCTGTTGGCAATGACTGACCCCCCCTTCCGTTCCACCTGAAAATCAGATGATCCCCAAAATCCTCTGACCCCAGAATCCTTTGACCCCAAAATCTTTTCGTCCTAATCTTGACTAAGTCAGCTGCCATCCTCACATAAACCACTTAGGAATTTATGGCATCTTAATGGATCTCATGATTCACTTTCTCTCAATTTTTCTTGATATCCCATGCTGTCATGGTAAGGCGAAAATGGACTGCTTGAAACAAAAGATATGCCTACAGGCAACAGGGAAGAGATTGTAAGGCATCTTATAACACCCAGTCTAATGGAATAACCAATTGACTTCGATTCTGATGCTAGCGACCTTTGGAATTTTTTGCCTTTGTTAACCTGTAGGTTGATAAATATCTTTCGTGGAAATTTTTACACAAAGATGCCTTATTTGTTTTATCTTAAATTCAACCAGCAATCAACGTATCTCCTCAAACCCTCAAAAAGTAATGCCTTAAAACCTGTCACTGAGATATTCAATTTGTTAACAACTAACGAAAAAACGGTACTCGATTTTGTCATGATGGAAATCTAGGGCTAACAAGATTGCGCCAATGGTGGTTATAAAATTTTAAAACCTCATTTGGACGTTTTGTGGCTTTTAATGGTTGAAAAGGGAGCTTGAATTTTTCCCCGGAAGACCTTTCTGATCAATTTGATACAATTGAAGTAAGTTTTCACAGTGGAATCTCTTTCAGATAGAGGCCAATCGATAAGACTCGTGGATGAATTAATAATTTTGCCTTAAGTCCTGTCTAACGCCCCAAGAGCCCAGACTTTGTCATTTCGGTCTTGTCCTTCAGTGATTGACAAGCATACAATGTTATCAAAGGACGAAAACTAAGTCAGTTGCAGGCGTAAGCTAAATGAAAAGTTTGACAAATAGAATGATCACAGAGTGATTCTCACTTTCTAATCTTTATTATAAATAAACTCTCTTAACTAAATACATCGACACCTACAATTATAGATTTCAACTATAATTTTTAAAATAAATCGATCTACTAAATCTTTTTACAATAAAAATCAACGGTAAAACATGACGTTTCGACCAAACTTCGGTCATTTTCAAGCGAATGGTAAGAATGTAACAATGAATATATATATGCGCGTAAGAAATGTAAAA